GCTTTTGAACAGCAAAGGAAACCGTAAACAAGACAAAAAGACAACCCTCAAAATGGGAGAAAATATTTGCAAACGAATCAATGGACAAAGGATTAATCTCCAAAATATATAAATAGCTCATGCAGCTCAATATTAAAAAAAAACTAACCCAATCCAAAAATGGGCAGAAGACCTAAATAGACATTTCTCCAAAGAAGACATACAGATGGCCAAGAAGCACATGAAAAGCTGCTCAACATCACTAATTATTAGAGAAATGCAAATCAAAACTACAATGCAGTATCACCTCACACCAGTTAGAATGGGTATCATCAGAAAATCTACAAACAACAAATGCTCGAGAGGGTGTGGAGAAAAGGGAACACTCTTGCACTGTTGGTGGGAATGCAAATTGATACAGCCACTATGGAGAACAGTATGGAAGTTCCTTAAAAAACTACAAATAGAACTACCATATGACCCAGCAATCCCACTACTGGGCATATACCCTGAGAAAACCATAATTCAAAAAGAGTCATGTACCAAAATGTTCATTGCAGCTCTATTTACAATAGCCCGGAGATGGAAACAACCTAAGTGTCCATCATTGGATGAATGGATAAAGAAGATGTGGCACATATATACAATGGAATATTACTCAGCCATAAAAAGAAATGAAATTGAGCTATTTGTAGTGAGGTGGATGGACCTAGAGTCTGTCATAAACAGTGAAGTAAGTCAGAAAGAGAAAGACAAATACAGTATGCTAACACATATATATGGAATTTAAGAAAAAGAAATGTCATGAAGAACCTAGGGGTAAGACAGGAATAAAGACACAGACCTACTAGAGAATGGACTTGAGGATTTGGGGAGGGGGTAGGGTAAGCTGGGACAAAGCGAGAGAGTGGCATTGACATATATACACTACCAAACATAAAATGGATAGCTAGTGGGAAGCAGCCACATAGCTCAGGGAGATCAGCTCAGTGCTTTGTGACCACCTAGAGGGGTGGGATAGGGAGGGTGGGAGGGAGGGAGATGCAAGAGGGAAGAGATATGGGAACATATGTATATGTATAACTGATTCACTTTGTTATAAAGCAGAAACTAACACACCATTGTAAAGCAATTATACTCCAATAAAGATGTAAAAAAAAAAAACTAAATAAAATATTATCTAACATAATCCAGCAATGTACAAAGTAATAATACCTAGTGTCCAAGTAGGAATTATCCCAGGCAACCAAGGAAATTTTAACATTAGAAAATGTGTTCATTTTCACACAATATCAATAATTCACAGTATCAATTTCAGGAGGAAAAAATGACCATTTTCATAAATGCAGGAAAATCATTTGTCAGGCAATTATAATTTTTTTAATCTTGGCAAATTAGAACAGAAAGAAACTTTTTCAACCTGATAAGATACCTATCTAAAACCCACAGCAAATATCATAGTTAATGATGAAATATTAAATATATTCATTGTAATGTTCAAAATGAGATTTTTTAAATGCCTGGGTTTGCCTCTTGCATAACACTGGACTAGAATCCAATTGTATAAAGAAGAAGAAATAAGACATTTAAAGATTACAAAGGCAGAAATGAAATTATCGTTATCCCAGACAATACAATTTTCTACAAAGAAAATGAAGAAAAGTTATAAACAAATCATCTGAGTTGATAATGGTTGCAAGCAAAGATCAATATTAAAAAATCAATTGTGTTCCTTATAGCAATCACAACTGGTTAAAAAAGTATCTTAAAAAGAATCTCATTCACAATAGCAACATATATGTGAAATGCCTATGAATAAATCTAATAAAAAAAGCACAAGTACTTTATCAGAAAAAAATTATAAATCTTTATTTTAAAAAAACAGATAAGGAAACCTGAGTATACAGGGAGCTATATTTTGAATACAGTTAAGAAATTCAAAAATATTTATCCCCAACAACCTAAATTTAATGTAATTTCTATTAAAAGTCAAACAAAGTGAGGTTTTCTTTCCCCTCTTTGGATATTATTAAGTTGATCCTAAAATTTACAGAAAGAATAAAAGACTAAGAGTCATCAAGAAAATACTGCAGAATAAGAATGAGGATATGGTAATCACTATACCAAATATCAAGACTGACTATAAGTTGTAGATATGTAGATAATGTAGTGTTGGTGAAGATAAACAGACAAATGGATCAACAGAATAGGACAGAAAGTCTAGGAACATCCCAGGCATCTAAAAGGGTTTGAAAACAGATATTATAGAGAGTTTGATGACTGATAGGGCATTGTAAATCAATACAGACCAAATACTGACAAAAAAAGATAACAATAGATGTCTACCTCATACTACACCACATATAAATTTAATAAAGAGTAAATAGCCAAATTCTAAAAAGCGAAATTCTAAAACTTCTATAGAAAATTGTGGAAAAATATCTCTATGGCATATGGGCAGGAATAGTATTAACATTTGTTAAATAAGACACAAAACAAAAAGTAAATGAAAAGAATGACAAAATCAGCCTCCTTAAAAAAATTTTTTTTCAGATGTGTTTTCAGGTTTAAAAACTATTTAGTCAAAGAAACACACTTAACAAAACAGTAAAATTTTATTTTAAATGATAAAAATTGGTTCAACCCTTCAGAAAAATAATATGACACTACCTATTTAAAATCTCAGCAATCTATTCATTCCTGGGAGTCAGCTAGAATTTCATCCAAGGGATATAGCCAAAAGAAAGAAAAAAACAAATTAAAGCATACAGAAATTTTCATTATTTAAAATATCAAAATATGAGAAAGATAGGAGGAGAATGAGCCAAGTATCCTTCATCAACTCAATGAAATATTATGCAACCAAAAAATAAGTAATTTAAGACTCAGCCTCCTTAAAATTAAGTTTTATATGACAAAAGACACCATTAAGAAAGTTTAAATACTAGACATAAATGGGAGAAATTATCTGTAGTACACAAAAACAAAAAAAGGATTAGTCCAGAGTATGTTTCTAAAAATACAAACAATCCAATAAAAAACTGCAATTTCTACAATGTAAAGGAACCCCAATACCAATAAAAATATAAAAATAATCAAATCACAAGTTAACAGAGAAACAAAAAAAATTTTAATGAGACATTGTATACCCCAAAAATAGTCAATCAGTAAATTATGACAGTAATATGGAGAAACACAAAATCTAATTGCCACGGGGAATATGAATTAACACTTTGAAGAGCAAATAAGCAAGATCAGGTAAAGTTAATCCCTTAATTCCACTTCCAGGTATGGACTCAAAGAAAGGATGAAGAAAAAGCTAGTCTATGCCACCATCTAGTGGCCTCAGAATATAATAGAAAATACAATACCTTCAGTAGTGTTTACAAAGGACTTCTCAAAGTACCTGCACAGAGGTGCAGCAACAACTTATAAATGTGCAGAGTTTATATATGCAGTAACTTCCCTCACTGCCCTTTTGGGCCAATATTTGACTTCATCTATCCTTCTTCCTTTTGCAGATTTGCATGAACCTAACTAACCTTGTGACAAAACCAAGTAGAAATATCTTCAGGCAGAGTGTTTCTCATGTCTATCTTATATAATTTCCAACACCCTTCAAATGATATCCATTGTTATGTGAGGTTGAAAGAATGCTTCTCCAAACTAACCAGATTAGATTGCATTGACAAGAATATGGTGCAAAAGGGGCCCTCATACACTTCTGTTAAGGTACAAATTTGGAAAATTAGCAAAGATGAATATATATCCCAAAATCAAACCAATAATTTTTTTATTAAACAAAAAAATTACAAAAAAGATAAATATGTGTATAAACTATGACACAAAAATTCCTCTCCTGGATACATTCTCTAATCATGGTTCTTAACCCCAAAGGACATCTAAGAATCTAAAAGTTTCATATATTGAAAATGGATAAGTTCCCGAGATCAGCTGTACAAATTGTGCTAGAGTTAACAATACTGTAGTGTACACTTCAAGTCTTGTTAAGCGGGGTTATATCTCGTTAGTTTTTACCGCAATAAAAAAATAAATAAAACCTTCTTGAAGTGGGCAAAAGCATCCAGAAAATGAAATGGGGGCAGTCAACATTTATAAGAAGCAATGGCACTGGGTGAGTTTCCCTTTTAGGGATTTTAAGATAAGGGAAGGACAGTCACCACCACTACAAGGTGCCTAAAATTCAGATGGAAAACTTCAATCTTACTGACTTGAAGAAACAGAGGACAGAGTTCAGGAAGACCACAGCAGCTGAAAATCTAGAAAAGAAAACCACAGTCAAATACAGCCAGAGAGTGGGAGCCCCAAATTTCTATATAAACTCTGCCCAAATACTGGCTGATCCCTAAACTACCCATAAGAAGAGTTAAGGCTAAAAGACCTGAACAGAGATTTCAGTTGCTGCCCACCTCAGAGAAGACAAGTTTGAAATCCGAGTCCTGTCAAAGTACTGCCTGCTAAAGCAAAACATCAGTACTTGTGGAAAATTCCGTTTCCACAAATAGTCACAGAAATATTTTTACTCCAAAAGGCTCTTCTGAAACCTTGCTAGTCCCCTGATCAAGAGGCAGAGTCTTTTTCACCTTTGTGCATCCCACAACACTAAGTAAATACACCTGGCATCAAAATTGAGCAGAGGGCCTGGCACATATTTGGATCTTAAAATACAAATAGAACTGTGATCTTCTAACTAAGGCCAACATAGTTCTGGAGTGCTGGAAGAATATAAGTGCGGATGGAGCTAAAACACTAAGATGTGGAAGTGCACAGCAGGGTCAGGGGACAAAGTCAATAGAAGATAAATGGAGTGAGAGGGGACAGTTGGGAAGAAATGGCAGGAGGGTACTGGACATTCCTTGAGGCTGTGCATCGACAGCTTTGGTTACCACACCCTTATACCTGCTTCACCTGAAAAAGAAAAACTGTGCATCACACTGACCTTCCATTCTATAAAATGGGCTTTGTGATACATTCTGACAATGAGAACTGGCTTTTACTCACAGGGAATAAAATGAAGGGAATCTCTGATCTCAGTCCTCCAGCCTTCAAAAAGCAAAAAAAGAAAAAGTGAAAAGTTGCTGAGAATCCAGCAAAAAACTGTTTCTTTTCCATTCTTACATGCTTTTTCCTATTTACCATTTAAAGATTATTATGAAATTAATTAAAATTACCTAGTAAAATGATATGGGAAAATACATTATACTGTTAATTATAAAAAAGCAGGCAGTAAATCAAGAAATACAGTGTGCTCTCAGGTGTGTAAATATAGTATATAAATAGATATATATAAAAATATTAATATTTATTCTATAATTATGAATGACTTTCATTTCTTCCTTTGGGTTTTCCTGAGCTTCTCAAATTTTCTATACTGAATATGTATTATTGGTATAACCAGGGAAATAATAATTCAGAGGAGAAGGGAAATTAATGTTGGTAAGTTAGGTACAATCCGTTCTTTGAGACATCAACCCTAATGTATCTAAAAGTTACTACCTTCTATATTATTTAAAGATTCAACTTGAAATTACTTCTGGGATTATAGAGTCTCTTAGAAGAAAACAAAGGAGGATTTAAATTGGCTATCAGAACCACTGTGGGGCCTCTGGAAATATTTAGGGCTCAGAGGTAGGAAAGTATTTATGTGACATGTTAGTTTACTATTGCATACAAATTTATAACATGACATTCTGTTGTGCAGAAAGCTTTATTTCTTCTTCTCCTTAACCATTACTAATAGTTGTCTGTGATTGTGGGATACTTGACTGTGAGCCCTAGAGCATGGCTATAGCTCTAGAAGGAAAACTAAGAAGTCATTCACTGAGGAGGAGCAGCAACTGTCACAAGAAGTTAGGGAAACACTGATGAAAAAGAAAGAATGGTTTCCTTGTTTTGAAAACTGAAATCCCAATTAGCCATGCTATCTACTGCAATTGGTGAAGTTGAGGATCCTATACTGAAGATTTAGTAGGGAACATAAGGACAAAGTTGAGAAGAGATATTTCCAGAAAGGAAAAGATGAATGGGAACTGGGAATTATGAATAATTTATTTTATTTTTAAAGTGCTGAATACAACAACAAAAAAACTACCAGGAAGAAAAGAAAATACCATGGATATACATGAACATAATTTAAATGAGTCACTGTCTTTTGTCATGGAAAATGAAAGAATACCAGCCTAGGGGTACAGATTAAACTAACATGTCTACTGCATACAATCTATGCCACGAACTTTTAGGTATGTTACACCAATCCTCAAAATAACCCTAGACATAGGTACATTACCCACATTTTAAATGACACATCACGCTGAGAGATAGTGTTTTGCCCAAGTCTGTACAGCCAATACGCCAAGGAGCTAAGACTGAAGTTTAGGTCCTCCAAGCCAAGTGCTTTCCAATAATATGTAGTGCTTCTCTTTATCAGCAGTTAAGGCGACAATGGAGTAAGAGAACTGAGGCACAGTAGGCTTCCAGAGACACAGGACTACCACACTCTAGCACAGCCCTAGAGACGGTCAGCATGAAGAACACGAGCTAGGTGAATCAATCCCAGCAGTGAGCCTAGCTCCCTGAAGTTCCAAGCAACAGAGAAGTGTTCTTGGTTTCCACACAGAAACGTGAATGAGAAAACCCAAGAAAATTCTCAAAACCATGTAGGAAAATGAGAAGAGTTTTTAACTAGAGCACTATTGCTCATTATTAGCAATTTCAGCGTTCAGAAATTTGGACACTCACTGGAGATCTAGCACCAGCGATGTCTGATATCACGAAGAATACATTGTTTCATCAACAGGACGAAAGAAATAACTGACGTGGGAGACAGGATGCAATACTTAGTGCATTTGATTTCCTTCTGAGGAGAGTGAGGCACAGCCTGTTTCAAGAGGTTCCTTGGGTTAAAATCAGGGAGTCTGGGTGAGTACATGTGCTTTACAAACAACTACTACTCTCTTCTATTGGTAAACATAGCGAGAAGGGTGAATACTTCATGATCCAAGTCCTCAAGCAGAGTTTGCTTCCCTTCTATAGGTGATGCCCAAAGATGAACATCAATCTAAGGTCTGATCCTTTGGAGAGAGATGGACAAAAAACAGAGAGCCAAGAAGCTGAAATTTTACCTCCGTTTGGCAGAAATAAAGAAGCCAAGGTAACAGTTATCACTAATATCCCCCATACTCCTCACCATGGGTATCTCCTCTGCCTTATCTTTTTACTGTGTAATATGACTGAATGCCTCATAAAGTGCATCCTACCTATACTGCCCACCTGGGCCATTCTAAATGGTGGACTCTAGAATCCGGTTCCAAGAATTGAGACTATGTCAGTGTGTTTGCTCAGGGTGGATATATTTGTGAAGTGATTGCTTGAAATCGAAACATTAAATGGCCTTAAGTCAGCCTATGTATTAAAACAACAAAAAATCTCTCCAATTTCCTTTCCATTAACTGTTCTTAACCCTTTCTTGGGTGTTAACGAAAACTGAGGACAAAATTCTGCAAATCCTTGCCTCTGTTTCCTTCAAAGAAAAACTTTTTAATATTTCTGATGTTTACAGTCCTAAAATATACATTCCTTAAAGAAAATTTGGAGAATGAGGAAAAGTTAAGAATAAAAATAATTCAGCCAAGTCCCACATTCTAGAGAAAACAAGTTAACATTTTGCTGTGGCTTTTTCCAGCCACATGTATACAAATTGTGCTCATTTTTATAGTTATGAAATTTCCTATTTTAATTTAATACTATACCACGGCCAATCTATACCAAGATAACAATTTTCACTGGTTGTATAACATGTAAGGGTATGTCTTCTCACATGTGTTGCTTGACCCTCAACCAACACAAACCAGAATTCCAGCAGCCTAGAGGAAAAAACTGTTGTAACTGTTTAAACCATGATTGAACCTGAAACATGAAAGGACATGCAATGTCATTATTTTTTTCTTATTCTAGTCAATTGGGTGGATCATTAAGGGGAAAAAATGTTAAGTAATAATAATGGTGCTAATACCAATCTTTGGCTACTTTTAGGGATATACTCCAGAGTTTCACCATTTTGAATATGTGGCCAAAAAATTTTTTAAAAAGACAATCTTTATTATCTAAATTATATATCTGCCTATATCTGTATTACTAGATTTTAATTTTTTCCAAGAATGAGTATTGTATTTTATCAAGTGCTTTTTAGCATCTTGTTAGCTGACCATGTGCTTTGTTTTGTTTTGTTGCCTAGTTGTTTAGTATATTACATTGATAGATTTTCAAATATTAATTTGGAATTTCATGAATCCATGAAATAAATCATATCACTTTAGTATATAGTTTGGATATACTTATTTATGATTCTTGCATATATATGCATAAGTAATAATGATTCCATAGTTTTATTCTACCCTTAACAATTTAGAATAACAGACTACTTTAGTTTGATACAATGTTTTTGTAAAATATTCCATAATATTTTCATATTAAAACATGCTATATGGCACAGAAATTATTTCTTAAAAGTATAAAATAACTCTCATAAAAAAGACTTTTATTCCTCTAGTCATGGTGACTGGTATAGTATAGCAACTGACCTGAGTCAAGGTAATCAGACTCAATCCCAGAAGTGCTACCCCAGTGTCAGCAAAAAGGGTGCTCTTTGTGCAATGATCTCTAAACTGGAAGAATGTAAACCCAGAGCTCCTGATGGTCATCTTTGCCAATATGTGGCAGAATCTAACCGAGGAGATTAGAGCTGAGATAGAGAATGTGCCTGATGATGTCATTTTAACTCCTGAACCCAGCTATGGCTAAAATCAGAGTCGCCTGTGTTCATTTTATTTAAATCAAATTAGTATTTTATGCAAAACTAATTTTAGTTGGGTTTTACCACTTACAACCATATAAATTCTAATTAATATCTCCCCTTACCTCACATCTCCATCTACTCACATTTTTGAGGCTAAAAATAAGTAAATAAAAGTAAAGTAAAAGTAAAAATAAGTAAATTTCTGGTATGAAGAACTAGAGCACAAAGTTTGAGGCAGGCACAACCAATTTAAACTGGCAAGAGGACAGCAGAAATAACACTCAGTGGTAAACAACTAAAAGCTTTTCCTCTGAGAACTGGAACCTGACAAGGATGCCCACTCTCATCACTTCTATTCAATAGAGTATTGAAGTCCTAGCCAGAGCAAGGAAAAGGAATAATAATCATCCGAATAAGAAAGGAAGAATTAAAATTATCTCTGTTTGCAAATGAAATGACCTTATGTGGCGAACACTCTAGACTCCACACACCAAAACAAACTGTTAGAACATAATAAGCAAACTCAGCGAAGTTACAGGATACAAAATCAATGTAAAAAAAAATCAGTATGTTTCTATACACTAATTATCTAAAAATAAATTTAAAAAACAATCCCACTCACAACAGCAACAAAAAATAAAATACTTAGGAATAAACTTAATCAAAGTGGTGAAAAACTTGTATACTGAAAACTATAAAGTGCTGATGAAAGAAATTAAAGCAGACAGGAATAAATGGAAAGACATTCCATATTCATGGATGGGAAGAATTAATATTGTTAAAATGTCCATACTACCCAAAGTTCCTACATATTCAATGCAATCTCTATCTAAATTCCAACAGAGTTTTTACAGAAATAGAAAAACAATTCTAAAATTAATATGGAACCACAGAAGAACCCAAATAGCCAAAGCAATCTTGAGCAAGAAGAACAAAGCAGAAGATATCATACTTCCTGATTTCAAATTATATTTCAAAGCTATATAATCAAAACTTTATGGTACTGGCATAAAAACAAACATATGGACCAAGTGAACAGAATAAAGAGCCCAGAAATACACATACTTATATGCACATGTACAGTCAACTGATTGACAAGGGTGTCAACATACACAATGGGGAAAGGATAGTCTCTTCAACAAGTGATTGGATATCCACATGCAGAAGAATCAAATTGAAAGCTTATCTTATACCACATACCATATATAAAATTCAACTCAAAGTGGACTAAAGACTTAAACCTAATACC